TCCTTCCCCTGGAGTGGAGTGGGAATGGAGATTTTGCAGTATCCTTCCCCTGCCACGGCCCACCAAGCCACGCCCACAGAACCGGTAGTATAAAAATTTAGATTTCACCACTGGGTCAGGGCCTGCCTAACCTCAAGGGGACGGGTATTCCAAAGTGCAAGAGCTGCCATGGAAACGACACACTTTCTAGATCCCATAAGATGGCAATGTTTAAGGAAAGGGATTAGGAGTCAGCCCACGTTATCTGGTCTGGTAGGCTGGGGAGATGTCCTTACAGAGAAGTGTCACACAGATTACCTGTCCCTGAACCACAAAACTTGACTATAGCATTCTCTATCATGCTTGGGATGGCCATCCTTGAGATTTTGTGAAACCCTTGCCGTTTAAAATGAATCGGGTTGGATGGGACACGGCTTGATTTTTTTTCTATAAGACAAATACATTTTAAAATTGTTTTATTAGTGGATTTTACAGTTAAGAGAAGAAGTACAATCATCCAAAGATGGTGGTTTGGTACTTTGTAAATAGTAGGTCTACCGAAAACATAAAACTTGATTTGAAAAGAACTGTGTGCTGTAGCACCCACCATTTGGAACATCTTATCCTCCACCCTCATATCCTCCCACAAGAGTCTGTACACCTGGCTCTACCGGTTGGCCTGGGGACCAAATGGGAGAGTTACACACTGGAGGTGGATGCTGGATTGATGGGAGACTGTACCCCCCCTGCTCTTCACCCATCCATGGTTTTGATTATCATGTTGATGTATTTATTCTCATTGTGTTCCTTTGTCATTGTTTATTTGTTTTGTTTTGTTATCTTACTTCTGCTTACACTCCTTTCATTTTTCTTAACTAGCTCCTAGCTCTACTCACATTAGCTAAACCATCTGTTGCTATACTTATGTTGATCTTTTCTCATTTAATTCATATCCCTAAATAGTAGGACTATTATAATTGTTCTAACTGTTCCTGTTCTTTATCTGATAATTGTTAATGGTCAAAACCAAGTACTGAGTTCATCATAGACTTAGTGAATTGTAGCTACTTGACTCTACTTCTTTGCCTCAATGGGCTGAAAAAATGAGTTAATGGAACAAATCTGGAGAATTCTAAGATTAGGAGAAAAAGTTGTGTGGGTACTCTGGTTAACACTTATTGTAAGCTAATTTAGTCCATAAGAAAAAAAAAATGTCATTGAAGTCCAAGCTATGCTTTAATTTAGAAGTCACTGAAAATGCATGAAAATAATGAGCACGTTTTCAAGATCTTCAGGTCAAGTCTGATGCTACAAAAAAGAGAACTGGGGAAGAAAGCTGAAAAAAGAAACCATGAAGCCTCCATGGGAAATTCCTTAAATGTACTAGAAAATACGAAGAAATTTTTAATGAAGCATCACAGCCATATAAATCTGCATCACCTTAGTTTCACCTTTAAAAAAAAAATTATGAATCACGCAGAATTTACCAGTTTTAAGACTGTCAGTTTCTTAACCCTTGCTTAATTTTGGAGTATTTGGTGCAATGAAGAGATCTTGAATACTTCTCCACAATGTCGAATATTTTTTGACTGGTCTTGACGAGATGGTGGAAGGTCGGATTTAGATTATTTCTGTTCTATACACTACCCCAAGATATAATTGTATTTTAAGTAAAGGTTTACTTTGAACAGAGGAGGAAATTCTCCAGTATTAATTGCATAACAAAACCAAGAGTTAAAGAAGTTAAAAACTGCTATTCATTCAAGTTAAAAGTGGAGGTTCATTCTCCGAGCTCGTGTGTCAGTTTCTGAACGTTTCATTATCAGCCTAAGTGACACCTTCAGCGGAATTTAGGGAATGTCACTGTTGGTGTTCTTCTGTTTATAAGGCCTTCGTGTCATCAGTAGGTCTTGTGACTGGTGGGTCAAAATGTTCAGAAACCAACCCACAAGCTCGGAGAATGAACCCCCACCCTCATCCTACACCCAAGCTACAGATATCCAGATACGGATACTATCCCATTCAAGTTATTTCAGGTTGATCTGCAAGGCAGTTTTCGGTTTAATGACATATAAAATAAGCTAATGATAACAAAATGATAAATCAGAGAGCAATCAATGGAAAAGCAAAGTGAAACTGCATTATAACGCTACTGGATATAAATTCTGCAAGAGCGATTGGTGACCAAAAATGCCCCTACTTAGTAAAAGCATGGTGTAAAAAAAAAAAAATCAGTTTATTATGAACTAAAGAAAGCTTGAACCAAACAGGTTTTTCTGAGCGGTATGTGCTTCCAGTCCCAAGATTCAAGACCATCCTCTTATCAGCTGATACCACCTGCTGCTTCATCACATCCAGCAGCTCTAGAGAAAGACCCCCACAGATAATTTTAGCAACCAGACACATAATACAACAATCATTCAGATGCATGTTGTATCTAGGTTTAAAACTCAAAAGCAGGAGTTAAAGAACTGTACTATACTGGGAGCCTCCAGAGCTACTTCAATCTTGGCAATACACGGGGGGTGAAATGAGATTCCAATCAATGAAGAGGAGAAACCAACAGCTCAGACTGAAAACTTTTTTACAGGCAGTCCTTGACTTACAACAGTTCACTTAGTGACTGTTTGAAGTTACAACAGCACTGAAAAAAGTGACTTATAACCATTTTTCACACTTATGTGCCTGTGGCAGCATTGCCATGGTCACATGATCAGAATTTAGATGCTTGGCAACAGATTCATGTTTATGATGATTGCAGTGTCCTGTGATCACGTGATCCCCTTTTGTAACTTTCTTTGACAAGCAAAGTCAATGGGGAAGCCAGATTCCACTTAACAACCATGTTGCTTACTTAACAACTGCAGTAGGGGTGAAATCCAGCAGGTTCTGACAGGTTCTGGAGAACCAGTAGCGGAAATTTTGAGTAGTTCAGAGAACTGCAAAATACCACCTCTGGCTGGCCCCAGAGTAGGATGGGAATGGAGATTTTGCAATATCCTTCCCCCGGGAGTAGGGAGGGAATGGGGATTTTGCAGTATCCTTCCCCTCCATGCCCACCAAGCCACGGCACATCCACCAAGCCACACGTACAGAACCGGTAGTAAAAAAATGTGGATTTCACCACTGAAGTGCAGTGGTTCACTTAACAAGTGTGGCAAGAAAAGTCATAATGTGGGGCAAAGCTCACTTAACAAATGTTTCATTTAGCAACAGAAGTTTGGGGCTTGGTTCTGGTCGTAAGTTGAGGACTCCCTGTGTTTATTTAGCGTATGGCATCAAATTGCAATAGAAGATCCCAGAAAGAATAGAAACAGGAATGAGCTGGGGAATCAGGCCTGCTGTTCGGAATGTCAAGCTAAGAATTTCAAGCAAGGTATATATTTACCCATTCTAAAACAAACAAAAACCTTAAGCTATTTGTGTTTAGCTGAAAGTCTTAGACCAGTTTTTAATAAAGAGAACATTCTACGTATCTCGTTTCTGTTCCTAATCCAGCCACCATTTCACAATTCCATGTAATCCTTCCCACTATGCTTACACAGCTAGCCTGTATTAGATGGGTCACTTCAAAGGCAGCTCTAAATACAAAGCATTACAATAATCTAATCTGCCTGTTGTCGGGTCCTGGCTATCAAGCCAGGATATCTATATTCAGGAGTGGTGACAGCTGATGCATTAGCTGAAGCTGATGAAAGGCAGTTTGTTTGGCCGATGTCACCGAGACATCCAAAATAAGGTCTAGCTTGAATAGCATCTTCACTAGTCTCTCCAAATCCATCCCCTTCAAGGGCTCATTGATCAGGAGCAGACACCTTGGAAGATAACATTATTATTTGCATCAGAGGCTCCAAAATGGAAATGTTTGGGTTAATGTCACTTTCTTTTAACTAGACATTGTAAACGTTATTTGCTGGATGTTTTATCCTCAATTACTGCTGGTTTGGAAATGGGGTTTGGTTTTGGTACAGTGAATTTTGGGTCTCTAATTTCAAATTGAATATGAACGTATTAGGTTTCACCTGCAAATGAACGTACGCTGTGCAAAAACCAATTAAAAGTCTTATGTAAAGACTACCAAAGCCCTAAAAATGGACTATCGTTGCTCCCTTCCTTGAGAACATGACATCATGGGAGCAATTGCCTAGAAAATAGCATAGAATTAAGTAGGTGAAGAACGTAACAAAAGATGATCAGGAATCTTCCACACGAATTTCCAGTTCACTATGGTGCCCCTAACTAGATTGGCCTCTTACCAGTTTGCCATTTGTTCACATTTTCAAATTCCTAGCACAGGGAGTGAAGGGAGTTTAATGCTGCATTTTCCTTCCATCTCTGTAGTCAGGGTAAATGAAAGTGACTCTGGATGTACCGGTAGATGGACATTTCAGACCGTATTTGGAAACTGTCAAGCCGATGCTTTTTTCTCATCCTAACACTGATTCTGCTTTTTCCTCTACATTGCTGCTTCCTCTCCAAATCCTCCAAAAGAAGTGATTTCAGTTTTCTTTGACTTGGGAATTAAATTGACATGTTCTGCAGTGGAGCCTGAATTATCATTATTGTCATGGGGCTTGAAGCCATATTCAGCTTGGTTTCCATTTGAAGCAGGTGGCCATAGCCATTGGGTGGCTGGCAACCGTGTCTACTACCTGGAAGTTGGACATTAGTTGGGGATAGAATGAGCCATTGTTGATATTGCTGTCTGCTTAGCAATAGACAGTATCTACAATCCATCATGAGTTGCCTAGTTCCTGCTTTGTAAGTTATTTGCCCACCATTTGCAACCTTGTTTAAAGGGCGGGAGGGTCATTGAGGGGCTGTGCTCAAGCTGTCAAGCTATGGGATCAATTATAGAAAATGAAGAGTAATATCAGGTGAGGTAGCCTTTGCACAGGTGAGGAACAAATACAAAATAGGTGGGGTACTGAGACACTGGAAAATGGGGATGGGAATTCCAAAGGTAAGAAATTTTTCTGGCTTTCTGTTGCTGCAATTCTCTTTCTGTTTCTCTTTCACAGCATTCATTGAAAGAGAAGTAAGATTGAGGGAAGATAACAAAGAAGGACATCTCAATGCTTGGAAGAATGAGCAGAGAAGAATGGTGGAGGAAAATAAGCAAAGAAATGGAAGGAATAAGGCATCAGAAAACATTATACTTGTAAGTGCTGAAACTGGGAAGGTAGGAAACAAAGCAGGCAAATCAAATAGATATTAGTCTACATAACCAAATAGACATTAGTCTACATAACCAAATAGTCTACATAACTCTTGACAAAATTCTACCATCTTGTGATAAGTGCAATGGTACCTGAGAAACACCTTGGAAGATGAGATGAAGAGATGTTGCTTAGGGCAGGGGTCTCCAACCTTGGCAACTTTACGATTTGTGGATTTCAACTCCTAGAATTCCTCAGACAGCGCATGCTGTCTGAGGAAATCTGGGAGTTGAAGTCCACAAGTCGTAAAGTTGCCAAGGTTGGAGACCACTATCTTAGGGAACGGTCAGATAAGAGACAGCATAATCTGCAGCTGCAGATGGATGCAGCAAGAGGTTCTGAAGAGAACATCCCTAAATTCTTGAGCTCTAACAGTGATGGTGGAAGAACTGAACTTTCAGATTTGCAGGATTCTGTTGATGCAGCTTTACAATAAAACAGCAAGCTGCAAGATACAGTTTCAAATCAGGTAAACTCAATTTTCTTCTATCCATTGCACCTCATAACACCTTATATTTAATATGTGGATTTTTTCCCATTACACAAATTTAGATGTATCCGTCCACTGTTTAAATGGGGCAACAATTGTCAAAACCGGTATTATCTGAAACAAAAACATTGTTCTAGGCAAGACATTCATTTTCGTTACAGAAATTGTCCCTAGCAATAACAGTTGTAGTTTCTCCCAACTTAATATATATTTTTAACTTCATTCCATGCCTTAACATAGTTATTTTGAAATGACACACAATTCACATTTGTCATTGTGATTCCCAGATATTTTCCCTTCTTCTCAATTTTAAAACTCATTTTATTCATCAATTCTGTTTGATCTTTTATTTTCATTTTTTTTTTGTTAACATCTTCATCTTCTGCTTATAGACCTTGTTATTGCACCATTTTTTTTCCGTTTGCCCAGTAATATTTCAATCCCCATTTAAAGGATCTTCCAGAACCTACGTTCATTTCTGGTGATGCCACTTGATTTTTTTGTCAGTTCTTTCAGCCACCCTGTGTTTTATGTTTTATGTATTTATATGTATGTATTTATATTTTTAAACATATTTTTTATGATTGTTAGCCACCCAGAGCCATATATTTGATGTGGTCAAAATAAATAAATTTGAATCTTCAATGAAAAGTTACTTATCTAAGTATGTTCTTGAAGTTTCTGCAGTTAGCTAAGTACTGTAGATTGAGATTCTGCATACAAGAGTTTCACTATTGACAGGGAGAAAGGTGAAGAGGGAAGACAGACTCACAAGGGTGTTAATGGCCTTCTCATTTGCTTCTAGAGATGATGAAGACAAAGGAGGCATAACTGATGGCCCAGCTTTACATGTTAATCCCCAGAATTAACGTCACCTCTTCTCTGTGTGTTTTCATAGTAAACAAAGCTGCTGCATTCTTTGCTTTGCTATAATGCAGGATGCAATTTTGTAGGTAGCAAAATCTCTGAGACCTTGACTGTAGTTGGCCAGGTTGATGCTTCTAGAGATAGAACTTATGAATTATAGAATAATAAGGCACTTATTATCCTGGAACTGTTGCTTATTCTCATCTCTCCTTTCTAGTTGCATGCCTACTCAAAAGAGAAAAGTGGAGTGAAGAGAACATAAAAATACCTTCCCATTCAGAGGACTGCAGATTGGAGGAGTGAGGCTGCAAAGCAGTGGACAACCAGGAAAACATAGTAACTCAGTTCTCTCATTAATTTCATCTTTTCAATATAGGAAGCAAAGGTGGGTTTCACATATTCTTACCACCGGTTTGCCCTGTGTGCACACGCACGCTTCACACATGCATGTTCCACGCATGCGCTTTGCTTGTACGTGCGCCTTCCACACATGCCTCGAAAACGTACCTAAATAAGATGGTATTACTCCAGGGCAGGTGGGCGGCACCTGCAGTCGCTGCTACCGTTTCGCCCGAACCGGTCTGAACCGGCTAAATACCACCACTGATAGGAAATCTTTGCTTAATGATCACAATCAGGTGTCAGGTTCCAAGTAACAGTCCAGATGAAATAAAAACTCCAAGGCCAGAAGGTTCCTCAGTATAGATTTATTAGGCATGTCATATTGGCACGGCTGGTGAAAACCTGACTCTGAAGCTTCCCGGGTTTTCCCTACCCAATTCAAAATCCAAAGTTCTTCCCCCCACTACACACAACCATCACATGCCCCAATCAGGTCACAGTCCCAGATCTGGATGATTCCCATACACACCCCACCCACCCCACTCACTCAAGGTGAGTGTCCTTGGCTCCCAGGAAAAAGAATGTTATTTTGGCTACATGTTTCCCTAGCTATCCCTGCTGCCCCCCCTCCTGTTCCCACAGCTCTATCCAGCCTTGCTGTGGCAACCCTGAAGACATTCCAAGATGGCTCCAGGACTGACAGCAGGACTGAAATATCAATCATTGAGCGAAATGGTAATTAAACAAGACATCTTGTTGAGTTGTTGAGTGATTTCTTCACTCAACAACTGCAATCCTGGCACTTCCAGCTGCCATTGTTTAGTCATCATGCAAGTTGTTAAATGAACAGAGTTCCAGATAACAAGAATAGGGGTGCAGGCAGGGAGAGAAGGATTTTAGCTCTTTCCATGCCTGCGGAGCTCATGCAGAGAACATTGCAAATGACAATTGCATGATTGTGGGTCATTTGGCAACTGGTTATAATTTATTTTTATTATTTTATTTTATTATTCATATTTCTATGCCGCCCACTCTCCGAAGACTCTGGGCGGCTTACACCAAAGACAGTATACTAAATAGCATATTGCCCCCAACAATCTGGGTCCTCATTTTACCCATCTCGGAATGATGGAAGGCTGAGTCAACCTTGAGCCGGTGAGATTTGATCCACTGATCTGCTGAAATGGCAGTCAGCTGAAGTAGCTGCAGTACTGCACTCTAACCACTGTGCCATTCTGGCTCCCTTATATATTGATATATAAGGGATCAGTATATAATGATCCCTTTTCATTATATATTTTCATATATAATGAAAATATATGCCAAGCACTTAAGGGAGGGGAACAGTATGACATTTTACGATGGGCAGAAGTGCTTGATGGGTCATAAAATAGTCTTTTTTAGGCCATTGTAACTTTGAACAGTTAACAACTGGTCCTAAGTCAAGAACTACCTGATCCTGAATTGTAATTGATTTAAGAACATTTTTATAGACTCTTGCCAGGGTGGGAGATGAAAGGCATAGTAGCATTGATATCAGTGTTCTTTTATTTTTATTCTTTAAATAAAATCATTTAGATGCAGGCTCTGGGTTACATCTTGAATGTCAGCAGTGTTAGGGGAAATTGTATAATGTGCTACACATATCTATTTCTTCAGTGGTATTGAGATTAACCATCTAATTTTTAAAATAATATATCAATTCAGTATACAGGTTTTTATGCTTCTTCAATCATTTTGCTGCAAGCCGCAACATACAAACACATAAGAATGCAACAATCTAAATTTCTATGGAGATTCTCAGTCACCCAGCTCATGGTTGTCCCAAAGGTGCTTTTTTCAAGAGGCAACTGGACTTTCTGCTTTTTCTTTGAAGACATTTCACTTCTCATCCAAGAAGCTTCTTCAGAAACAGCTTCTTCAGAGTTGAAGAAGCTTCTTGGATGAGAAGCAAAACATCTTCAAAGAAAAAGCAGAAAGTCTAGTTGCCTCTTGAAAAAAGCACCTTTGGGACAACAATCTAAATTGTAAATATATAAGCAGTAAAATGCAATGACACTGTAAATCACAAAAAAAGGAACTCATCTCACTTCTAGTCTCACCTAAATTCCCTAACTGTAGATTGAAAAACCTGTGTTTTTAAAAGTTTCCTAAATATTAAAAGTGAAAGGGTGTTTCTTGAATTGGTAAGATGGTATTCTACAGGAAGGGAACTCCTGTAAGGTCTGTTTGCCATTGAGTCATCTATCATTGTGTCTCTCAAGGGTTGCAGACTCTCCACATCTGTCCTCTCTTGGGTGGGCAGATTTTATTTGGAATAAGAGGACTCAGAGATAACCAGCCCCCCAAACCACATGATCCGTGGTATGTTGGTAAATTTATTTATTTATTTATTTATTTATTTATTTATTTATTTATTTATTTATTTATTTGAATTTATATACCGCCCTTCTCCCGAAGGACTCAGGGCAGCCAGAATAAGAACACACAAATAGAAAATTTAATAACAATTTAAAATATATATTAAACAATATGGCCCATAACTAATTAAAAACCCATTTTTAAACCTCAAGAATTAAAAATTAAAAAATTAAAGATTAAAAGTTGAAAAGAATTGGAATTAGGCCAGCCCGGCTTGTTGGAACAAAAGAGTCTTGAGGGCACAGCGGAAGGTGCGTAGGTCCGGGATCCTCCGAATCTCCGGGGGCAATTTGTTCCAGAGGGCAGGTGCCCCCACAGAGAAGGCTCTCCCCCTGGGGGTCTCCAGTCAACATTGCCTGACCGACAATGTTTAACAACCCTCTCCGCTGACTCCATTGGTGGCCACTGCACACTGGCCACCAAACAGCTGATCATCATGCTAGGTGGGGTGGCTCAGTTCACAGTTCACCAGTTTGCAAAAATCCACAAAATTTAACAGTGGGCTGTCTGGTAAAAGCAGCTTCAGCAGTCCACAGCATGATGGGTTTTAGAGGTAATTATCAGCACCTCAAGTTGCACTTAAGTAAAAAAAAAAAACCCAACAGCCAATGCACACTATTAGCATTATATAACAATACTGAATGGTTCCAATTAAGTTGTAGGTCTATGTGTCTAGCACAATTTGGAGTTTCTTGGTGGAACTCAAAGGCAGCCTCATCTGGAATGCAGTACAGCTGTCCACTCCCAAGGTGTTGGAAGCCTGCATGACTGACAGCACCAGGAACATATAATTGGTGCAACAACCAAACCTGGATAAACACCCTCCTGGTTATAGCTTCCATTCAGTAGAAACTGAGTATCCTCAAGGAGCCCCAAGATACTCATCAAAAATTGAATGAAAAACAATTGTCTTCTTGATAGAGGGTTGGAAAATGCCTGTGGGAACATGGGAATAATGAAAGGGAAACAATTCTTCTCATTGGGGTTGAGTGTGGTCTTCTGCCAAATTCCAAGTCACTGCATCACTAAGTGTGAGGCCTCTGAAGAGAATGGTGCTCTGTTAAGTTTCCTGAATGCAATTTTCTCCACTGCTGTGGAGACTGTTTATTCTTCTAATGCAGGCATTCAAAACTTGGCACCTATGTTTATCCTGTAATAAAACTCACAGTCATCTATCCAGATTTAAAGAATACACCGACTCCATATGGTAACCATCTCCCATGTTTATATGGAAGCAAGCTGAGAACTGTAAGGGAAATCAGCACCTTGCCATAGGAGGAGTGGCAGAACCTGAGGGCAGAGTTAAAAGAGGGATCAGCCTAGAATCCCTACATAGCCACAATTAAAATAAATCCAATCCTGCTTGAATTCCATTGATCATTATCTAATACTGACCAGGTGCTGACCGTTAGTTGAGAAGATTCCTGTGTATAGGTATATGTAGCCATAAATCAGTTTAATTGGACCTTCACATGTGGACTTGATCTTTCCCACCTGACATTTGCATAGCACAACACACTGAAGGACTCTCCTCCAATATGTGCCCTCATGATTTCTTCAGAAGGCTAAGTGGGCCCTAATAGACATCCCACCCAGGGGTGAAATGCTCCCAATTTGGTCCAGATTGGGCGATCTGGTAGTGATTGTGACAGGTGGTTCAGAGAACCGGTAGCGATGGCGGCACGAGGCTCCACCCACCCGCCTGGGGTCATTACTTCCTGCTTTTAAAAGGTAAAAAAATAGGTTCTGACGATCGCGCACCACAGCTGTGATCGTCACAGCCTTTTTTTTACCTTTTAAAAGCATTTTTAACCACCTATTTGCCCGAATAGGTTGTAAAAAAATGCTTTTAAAAGAAAAAAAAATCTCTGACGATCGCGTGCCACAGCTGTTCATGGATAAACTGACCCTTGAATTTTTTTTACCAAAATATCATGAAAAATATGCCATTTGTAGACAAGCCAATTATGGAAATTAAAACATACAAACTTTTTGAGAGTCAGCGTATTTGTGTGGTACATTTTTCATGGCATTTTGGTTAAAAATTCAAGGGTTGGCTTATCTGTGAATGTGGGCTTCTACAAAATTTTACTTTTTATCTATTTTATCTTTCCAGGGAATATTTTACTTAGTCCCTGGAAAGTTTTTATACAGCATGATTGACTCAATTTCTGGTTCCAGTTTAGAAAAATATGTTGAAGAACCTGCAAAACAATTGGGAAACGGGTTAAAAATCAATATTGACAAAATGCCAATTTATGAGGGCAAATAGGTTTTTTTTTTTCCACAGCCCCAAATAGCTGTGAAAAACAGATGTCTCTCTTGTTGCTTGACATGCCTTGACATCTCCTTGGGGGCTGGTGTCTCGAATGTGTGCTTGTTCTAATCCAATTGGAAAAGCTCAAGGAAGCAAGGAGTCTCTTTCCCGGGACTGCCTTAGGATGTGTCAGAGATCATCAAAAGAATATTGCCATTTCAAATATTCAAATTGTATTACACATCACAGGAACTTTCTTATGACACTCATGAATTATTATTCCAGGATCAAGAATGGGATGGGGGTTGCAAAGGCAACTGTCACATGCCTAGGACACTTAATGAGCCCGTTGAGCTGAAGATTTT